CATTTCAAGTTTTTGGAACCTAAAAGGCCTTGAATTTTCGATAATTCTGCAGTTCTCCAACAGAAGAATGTGTGCCTTAATTCGTTAACAATTCTAAAATTCAATTCATTTCAAAAATCCCCATAGGAAAATTTAGTTTTATATCTCCTTAGTTTCGTAGAGCCATCTTGTTTTATAAAATAATAGTCCATTGGTAGGGTACAAGACATGTATTGATTTACTTTAGCCCCACTAAGAACGCCGTATACAAAATAATATATAGAAAACACTATTGATAAATTGTAATAACACTCGTTGTACTGTACTGTTCAATGTACAATATCAATTTTGTAATGATAAAGTTTGTATTATAATTTGTTATTTCAAAGTAATCTTATGTAATTTAAAATTGTGAATTATAATAATAGACTTTTACACAAAGCTTTTCTGGAATTTTATAAAGATTTTTTTATGTTTATCTTATCATCCTTGTTTTGCTCATATATTTCAAATATTGAAGAAATTTTTTTTATATTTTTAATCTGTAATTTACATTCCCTTTATTTGCCCTGCAGTGTAAAAAAGGAAGGAAATGGCATTATTTTCAGGACGCTTGTTTTCAACTTACAACAGGATATGCGGCAATATACATCTTGAAAGGAAAGAAAACTTTAAAAATGTAAACCTATATTTATTTTACATTTTCAGTCATTTATTCTAAAAAAAACATTGTCTAAGTAAACAGAATGATGAAAAGGGAAAATCTTCTTCTTTAACAAAATGATAAGATAAGTACAATTGTTGTTTTTAAAAGAATGATAAGACATAAGTACAAAAGTCTTATTTTACTATAAGATGATACAAAGTACAATTGTCCTTTTAAAATAGTGTTAAGATAAGTACAATTGTCTTATTTAACAGAATGATGATAAAAGTACAAATGTCTTATTTAACAGATTGATGAGAAAAGTACAAATGTCTTATTTAACAGATTGATGAGAAAAGTACAAATGTCTTATTTAACAGAATGATGATAAAAGTACAATTGTCTTATTTAACAGAATGATGATAAAAGTACAAATGTCTTATTTAACAGATTGATGAGAAAAGTATAAATGTCTTATTTAACAGAATGATGATAAAAGTACAAATGTCTTATTTAACAGAATGATGATAAAAGTACAAATGTCTTATTTAACAGAATGATGAGAAAAGTACAAATGTCTTATTAAATGTCTTATTTAACAGAATGATGAGAAATTACTAATGTCTTATTTAAACAGAATGTTAAGATAAGAACAAATGTCTTATTTAACAGAATGATTAGAAAAGAACAATTGTCTTATTTAACAGAATGATGAGATATTAATATTTATCTTTTTTTATCTGACAGAGCTGTCAGTTTTTTCAATCATAATTGTGTTTTGTAGCAAAATTGATTCGACCACTTTTAAAATTGTTATTTTCTTATTTGTAAAGTAAAAACAACTAAGATTTGTGTGAAATTTCTTTCAAATTTTCGCCGAATTAACAATTTGAAAGTTGTTTCATTCTATGGAAGCCGGTTTTTGTTGATCAATTCAAGTTACTTTTTTAGAGCAAGGTAATCCAAGGGTTGCAATCGATGAGAATTTTTCCAATTACTCCCTGAAAAGAAAAGCAAAAATAATGCTTTATTGTTTAAAAATGTTCAGGGCCAAATAAAAAAAAAATATAAATGAGTATGTGAGGAAAAATCTAAGGCCAAGGCAATACGACACCTTAAAATTAACCCAGTCAAAAATAAATGCAATTTTAATAGCATGGATCTATGTGTGACTTGAGAGTGTTATATATAAGATTTACAACGGTGTTCTTTTTACCTTTCTCTGAAGGATGAATAACCTTTTTTTACGCTAATAATTGATTATCTTCAATTGGGGTTTCTGCAGTGTAAAACAGACAAATTTACGCTGTGGAAACAAAGAAAGAATTTGTTCAGAACTTTTAAAAAAAACGATATGTTACTCAGGATACGTTTTAAAGAGTGCCGTTCTAGGACATTTTTTTCTCTTTAAAGTAACTTGAAAATACGTAACTGACAGACAGTTACCTAGATTGAGGAATTGGCTAGAATTATAAAAAAAAAAATTGTAAATAAAACTATTTTTTATTCTTAAATATACATAAGTGTAAATGTAATATCTATATATTTATAACCTAACAAGTAACGATTTTTGCTCATATATGATATATATATTTTTGCTCATATATGATATATATATTTTTGCTCATATATGATATATATATTTTTGCTCATATATGATATATATATTTTATTTTCGTTACATTACATTAATCAGAATATCCAGACTTAAAATAAATCCCAATTATGCTAGTTAAGCAGATTAAACTACTATAAAAGTACTTATGGCTTTAAATTGTATCCGCAGATTTGTTTAAGTATTTTTCAGTAATTTTAAAGGAAAAGATAATAAACGCAAAACAAATTTAATTGTTAAAAGTAATTAATATAAATTCGTATTGTGAATGAGTTTATTTCCATAGAGATCCAAACTGCTATTCAAAGTTTCAAGACTTGGTAAACATTAAAGTGCTGCAACTCCTTGGTCTTTTTACAAGAAGGAATGAAATTGCTAAAAATCATTTAAATTTTTACTTTCAACATACGGATTACTGAATGTTGCAGGGTGTCCCAATAAATATGGGAATTGAGACGGTTTAAATATCGTCTTAGATTTCCTATAATCAATAAATGACTTAAAGTGCATAAAACAACTTATGAATGTCAACTGAGCTTCCCAAAATGTAGTCTACCTTCTTTGTATCTTCAATTTACCAAGATATTAAACATTCAAACAGTTTTGATTTTTAATTAACTTGAATATAGAAAAAAAACTTTCTAATATCTCCGTCAATTTTAAAGGTGGAAAAATGGTAGACCACATTGTGTATATCCCGAAACTAGTAGTTTACGTTGTAAAATGTTTTAGCTCTGATACTCCAAAAAAGTGCATATAAATAATCACACATAGAGAAGTCGTCATTTAATTCCCATGTTTAAGGATTATTATATAACTATCATTATAAACCCAATCTAGCTTTTTCGCAAGTCATTGAAGTCTGGGTTAATTAAAGAGACTGTAGAAGTAATCTCAAGTGATCATTCTTGCAAAGATGACAATGTTCGATTCATAACGGAACCCTGGAAACCTGATCAATTCTTAAAAATGTTTCTATTTTTATGTGTTATAATTTTTATAAAATAAAATGGTAGATGGCATGTTCATCCATCATATTTTTTCTCCTTTCTCCATCTGCACGTTCGCAGGTTATCTTTTTTTTTTGTCTCCCTTTGCCCGTCCATTTATGGCGCTGTTTTTGAAAGAATGTTTACGAGAAACCCGATCAATAACGAGAAAGATATTATCATTTTTCCAAGTTTAAAAGTGTTAAAATCTGGTAACTTCTCTGCATTTTCCTTCCGTAAAATTGCTCAAAACACTTTTGTAGAGAAACCACAATTAAAAGTGATTGGTTTCTAAAATGATAAACATTAATATCCAATTTATTCTCGATCAGAAAAAAAGCCTGTAATGGTTTTATTGTAAATCATGCATTGCCATCGTTGCATATAATGATATAGGGTCACATGAAATAATGCTTACAGACCCTTTAAGTAAATAAATGAAATAATTTTTGTGTCTGTATTTAGTGCCTAATTGAATTTAGTCAGTAATATGGATTAAGCTTATGTTGTGCTGTGACTTTCTGTAAGTTAGTAATTGATCAATTATAGATTTATTAAGTGGTGCATACGATTCAAAACTCCATTAAACCATTAAAACATAAATAGTTGAATTTTCTTGCTTTATCAATTGTTGAAAAAGTGATTTATTTTTGTCTGCATAAAGAAAATGCAGAGAACTTGAATCTGTTTATTGTTTATTCAAAAAAGAATTAAAGGATCGAGAATTTATAGCCCTTCATATATTAGGATCACTGAAAATCAGGTTTACAGTGTCCGAATTTAATGAATTTAAGCCGCGTCTCAAATCCCCATAAAAACCGGTTTCAATTGAGCGCCGGCTTAAATCTTGAAAAATTTTAACAATTTTAAATGGAACCAACCATATTTGAGCCGTGGCTCAAATTCTTTATATTCGGCCTCAAATATGATGTAGAATCAAAAATATTATATTAATAGCCGAAAGTTGTTCTTTCTCCGTAATTGCGACTTAAGTCTCCCCGATTTTCCAGCGAGGGGGAAATCCTCCCCCCCCCCCCCTCTCCCAACCGTTGCCCTTTTAAACCAACTCTGCCTCATACCTTATTTTTTCATAATAAGACAATTGCCAATCTGACAATCATTCGTCAAAGTTTTAGACCGACTTCTTTGGTTTTACCAAACAGTAGCCTTTCAGGGGCGTATTCAGGAATTTGTCCAGGGGGGCTTAAATTTTTAACCTTTCCAGGGGGGGGGGGCTCAGCACCCGTTGGGGCCTGAAAACCCCCTGAAATCAATAGATTTCACTGGTCCAGGGGGGCTTAGACCCCATGGCCCCTCCCCCTGAATACGCCCCTGTGGCCTTAGTCATATACGTTTTAAAATTGTTTCTGGCCTAAGTCTAAAGGATTAATTAGTAATAATATTGATGATTCTCAGCCATGGTTTGCAATGATGGAAAACTATAGAGCTTGAAGTTAAAAAACCAGTTATTCTTAACTTCTTAACTTTTGAACCTATATTTCACACATCTTAAATATAGATTTTCAAATTGGCTCTATGCTACATTTTTAGGAATATTTATTCCACCAATTTAAGTGTATTTTGAATGATATCAAAATATTACTGAAAATATTCCGAAACGAGTTGTTAATTTTACCTACGCACTCTATAATTGTGTATACTCTCTGTTTAACCCCAACTCGGAGTATATATTTTCTCTTCTCCTCTCTGCTCCATAAACTTCACTTTACTGTAGAAATTTAACAAATCTAAAACAATAAACATTCTCGTGGACATTTTTAAATTTATATAACAACATCACAATTTATTGCTTAAGTACATAACTTTAGAAAAAATATTTTATCTGTGAGATTACACCTTAGGTTAACAATGTAAAAAATCAATTATATATTTGATTTTTCAAAAAGGAAGACGATTTAAAGTATGATTTGTGAGAATTTCCGTCTGGTTCTAGAGCTCTTGTTTTGGTGGTCCCACCGGAAGAGAAGGATTCAACTCACTTGAAAAAAATCAACTTACCAAATTAAGCATTAAATCTGATAAATGCTAGAATCAAAGCATACAAAACTTAGAATAGATTTGCATTATATATACTGAAAAAAGTAAGTCAATGAACTCAAAAAAATCCATTTGATCAATCGATTTCTGGGTCATCAAATCAAACACTAGTATTTAATTTTCGAACTCATTATTTGCTAAAATCAACTACTATATATAAATCAATTACTACAGTGATAACCAGAAAACTGTAGAATAGAAAGACGACGTTGGAGCAAAACTGAAGTGCATTTGATGTTGTTACAAAGATAAAAGCTTTACTAGCAAGTTATTATTTCACTTTCAAATAAAATGGGTCTTTTTATACAGCACATTTGCTGTGTCTCATGTACATTGGCCTATTTAAATCCATAACTTGAGCTAAAAAGTCGACATCCAATTCCAGAGTATTCTGGTTATCACTGTATTATAAAAATCAAAAGTCTGAAAATCAGTTTATTAAATCAAATTCAATCAATCAATTCCTAAAAAGTTACCTAGTGTTGTTAATTCTGACAAGAACAACAGTTACTTCCATAGTTTCAAACTGTCCTTCCCAACCCAACCTATAGAGGATATATACATATATATCTGTAAAGGAGCTGAAAGCTTAAATTCAAGTGGCCCTTTATGCATAAATGGCAATGCCCGATTTACAATGGTACCCTTGAAACCTTAATCTGATCAAAAATGTTAAGTGTCTCCATTTCTCCATCACTTATTAAAAGCAATAAATGCGCTGGCCATCTTCGCAGAGAACCCGCAAATAAACAGTTTAATAAGAATCAAAAACATGAAAATATAATTCAAGGTTTCAAGGGTACCTTTGTGAATAGGGGATGTCCCTTTTTAAATGGAAGGTCACTTGAATTTACGCTTTAAGGAATTTAGTCTTTACCACATTCTCAAATTTTCTAATCAAATTATCTTAACAACCTGATGGTGAAAACCTTTGATATTTCAAACTTCTAACATAATTCATAGTTTTAATTATGAATTATTTTAGGTCTACAATGATAAGAGGCTTGGCAAAGACTAAATTTCCTAGCAAAATAAATTGAACTGAAAACTTTTAAAAGAATGATTACTGAGAAATCAAAAGTTGTGACCAATTGAGAGATCACTGATCAGTAAATCTGACGTCTATATCCTAAAAATTGTCAAATAAAGAGGTCCATATGTCCATTACCATAATAAAAGATGAGAAATCAAAACGTTAAAATATATTTAAAATATCTATAAAATCAGCGAAATTTACAAAAGATCAAATTAGAGTTCATTATTCCAGAAAATTGTGTATTCCATATTTCGTTAGTTTTCAAGTAGATGATCAAATCCCTGCATGCTGAATATAGACGTTTGATTCATAAAATTCAACAATATTTGACAATTTTCTCTATCCTCGATGTTCAGTCAAAGGTTTAAAGGGTTGGGTCGCGAATCTGGGATGCCGATGGAAGTTCACTTGAAACGAATTATTAAGAAAAATGCATATCAGACCTGGGTATTAAAAACACTTTATTTATTAATAAAAATGAATATCAGACCTGGGAGTTAGAAACACTTGATTTATTAATAAAAATGAATATCAGACCTGGGTATTAAAAACACTTTATTTATTAATAAAAATGAATATCAGACCTGGGAGTTAGAAACACTTGATTTATTAAGAAAAATGAATATCAGACCTGGGGGTTAGAAACACTTGATTTATTAAGAAAAATGAATATCAGACCTGGGAGTTAGAAACACTTGATTTATTAAGAAAAATGAATATCAGACCTGGGAGTTAGAAACACTTGATTTATTAAGAAAAATGAATATCAGACCTGGGAGTTAGAAACACTTGATTTATTAAGAAAAATGAATATCAGACCTGGGAGTTAGAAACACTTGATTTATTAAGAAAAATGAATATCAGACCTGGGAGTTAGAAACACTTGATTTATTAAGAAAAATGAATATCAGACCTGGGAGTTAGAAACACTTGATTTATTAAGAAAAATGAATATCAGACCTGGGAGTTAGAAACACTTGATTTATTAAGAAAAATGAATATCAGACCTGGGAGTTAGAAACACTTGATTTATTAAGAAAAATGAATATCAGACCTGGGAGTTAGAAACACTTTTCTTGACTCTCCTAGACACATTCCATCTACTGGACTATTCAACCCAGGAACATTGGACAATCCTTGCCCGTACAATCTGTACATAGCTAGTATTAGATAATCCTTGACCGTACAATCTGTAAATAGCTAGTATTAGATAATCCTTGACCGTACAATCTGTAAATAGCTAGTATTAGATAATCCTTGACCGTACAATCTGTACATATAGTTCACTTGCATGTAAAATTATAATTTTATATAAAAAAAACGTATACCCGAACGGTCCATAGGGTTCTACTCCGTCTACAACAGAACCAAACTTGGATCCATCCTCCCTGTAATAGAATAAATGTATTTTACCATTTTTCTGTCCGATGCCACGATGTAAGTGAAGTTTGCGCAGTGGTACTGCGTGTAACTCTCTTCTCTGTACTCTCGGTATTTATTGATTGTTGATGGAAGACGACAACCTAGGCTTTTTCAAATTCGTTAACAATGTTCAACGTATCTATATCAAATTCATTAATTGAAACTTTATCTATAATCTGTCAGTTAAAATTTAAAAGAAATTTGGATATTGTGTTTAGAAAAATAACCGTTTTTTAATTTACAACAAGAGGTACCCTTTTAGCCTATTATTTATCTAAATAGCAATAAAGAAGATATCGTCATTTTCTATCTTAAGTAGTGTTGAAATATTATTTAAAAAAAAAAAAAATCAGAAATTTAATGAAATATTAGATATATACGAATGCGTCGAAAAAAAATCACTGACTATTGGTTGTAAAATCTGAGTTATTTGTTTTGAATTTAATTGATTATTTTACGATCCGAGTTGCGACTTTCTGAATTTGTATGGACGCTACGTTCTTCAGCATGATAGACGCAACAGATAGAAGTAAGATTAGTAGTGATCAAAAGCGCTTATTTTTCGCCGTAAACCTTTCATTTTTCGCGAACACTCCCTTTAAGTAATGTTGAATTCAGACAATTTTCTTCAATGTTTCTGCAATGTAAATGCGCAGTTTTTTTTAAACTGATATTTTTTTAGAGAAAACCCAAGAATTTCTCATTTATTCATTATCAGACAATGGTTTTATAATGGATAATTGAAAAATCATGTTAATAAAAGTAAACACATTTGTGTTCTAAATCTGGGGAACAAGCATTGATCTCCATCTTATGTAGATCTAAAGATTAATTTAATTTCTATTTGAATATCCCCTGGTCAGTGGTTATCATACCCTGCGCAGGATTAACTATAATGAGGGATCAAACTTTGATCTTTAAATTCAAAAGTGCCCACATCGGATATTGAGATCAAGTCTTTAAGATTATTAATACTATTAATTAATACAGAAGTGTCGATCCCAGTTCCAAATGATAACATCAATGTTACACAAAATATGGTTTTATAAAAACAAAATTCTGTTCTCATCATGTAGTCAATAGATCTTGGGTCAGCGACACTGAAATATAGAAAGCTCTGAAAGTTGGTCATCAAATATTTAGCCTCGACTACAAAGTGTCGCAACGCCTTGGCCTTTGGTTTTAGTGCACAAAATCACTTTTTTGTAGTCTTTTGTCTGTAATACATTTTAACATTGTAACGCGTTCTTTTTTAGCTTAATGTAAAAGGAGTAATTGTAATAATACTGCTTGACTTTAGTATTAGATTGTGCACATTATAGTTTGCAGGGGAGATTAATGAAGAAAAGAGAAAATGTTTTAAATTACTCCTAGAAACTGTTAAGCTGTTCTTTCCCCTCTCTGCTAATTTCTGACTAATAGTATGATTTGCTTAATAAAAGCTCATTTATTTATACAACTTACCCCCATTACACAAAAAGTTTAATACTAATTATCGAATAAATAAATACATTCATGTTTACCTAATAATAAATTTTTATTCATATGCAGTGATATCCAGAAAACAAGGAAATAGGAAGACGACATTTTAGAAATATCAAATGGTTTTACTTATAACACTTATTGAATCACTAATTTAGTGAAATTGGTCGGTTCAAAATGCACAATTGCCGTGTCTAATAATCTCATGCTCATTGGATATAAACTTATAGCTTATAATTCTAAAATTCGTCTTTCAATTCCAAAGTTTTCGGGTTATTACTGTAAATAGTAAATAACATTATAAAGGAGCTGATTACGCGCAAGAAGTCAGTTTTAATCCCTATAAATTTGCAACCTAATGGTGAAAACTTTGATTAATTTTAGAATTTTTATCAGGTTGCAATTATATAGGTGTTAAGCAATTTAAATGTAAGCTTATTAATCAGTTCCTTGGTTTGTTCCCCGAAATAACTTAATTTCCGTGATTATTTTGAAATCAATAAACATTAAAGTTCAATTTTATATGAAACGTTATCCATAGTTTTGGATGTTTGAAATAGAATAGCAAAAAATTAGTTATGGTATACATAAAATAAAAAATATTAGAAAAAAAAACAATATTAGAATATTAAAATCTTTTTTAAAAAAGGTTATAAATTGTGTTTTTAAATTTTACCAAAACCGTTAAAGATGGATCGAGGGGAGGGGGTCAATTCATAATTTCGAGTAAAGATGGCTTACCTTAGTGCTAGATAATGAATATAAAGCTCATCATCAACTCTAGCGATCATCTGGCAATCCTCAACTGCATGTTCAGTCTCCCACCGATAGATATTCTAAACCAAATATTAGTAAATGAACATTAGCGGACGTTTTTGGGCGTTATTGAAGTTCCAGGACGTTTTTAACGGTTTTGGGGCATATAGTGACTTTGGTTTGAATATATTGGACGTTTTTGGACATAATCAGACAATATTGTGCAAAATCGCACAATAATGGACGTTATTTGTTTTTCAATATGGGGTTAATCCGTGTATGGGAAAAATTGAGCGATATTAAACAATATTGAACAATATTGGATGTTATTGACAGGTTAAGGACTATATTGGACAGGGCTGGACATTTCTGGACAATTGTGGACGTTGATGGACGTTGTACGTTATTAGTAGTCTATAATAAACGTTCCTAGACGTTTTTTGACGTTATTGAATCCAAAAGGATGTTATTACACCTTTCTGGACGATATTTGACCTGCATGGACGTTACTGGACATAATTAAACGAAGATTTTTGGTTTTTATTGACTTTTTTACTTCTGTGGAAAAAGGTCTAAACAAGTTTGTTTTCTTTCAAGAAAAATCAGATAAATAGTTTCGAACAATTGTGATTTAACGATATGGTACCCGAACACCCTTTGATGATCCATCATCAAGTTATTTGATTTTTCGTGAACATTCCGTTTTAATCACCCATAATTTATAACAATGTTTTTAATCCCTTTTCGGCAAAGGAATTGATTCTTTGCCACAAATTTTATATTTCCCATATCTTTGTAACTTTTTGGTGTAAACGTAGATTCTTTTATCTAACAGAATTCATAGTTTTAAATACCTCTAAGGTCTACAACACTGGGTGGCAAAGATAAGAGGGATTTTAAAAATCAGAGTTTGTGCCAAAGACTCAATTCCTTTTCATGTTTGTCACCTTTCCTCTCATCTCTGGGTCCCATGTTTTATCGTTTAGTTTGACAAGCCTGACATCAAAGTAAAGTGTGGCAGAGGGAGGGATAGTTCCATCAATTCCTAAAAACAGCTGTTAAAGTCAAGTGTGGCGGAGGGAGGGATGGTTCCATCAATTCCTGAAAACAGCTGTTAAAGTAAAGTGTGGCAGAGGGAGGGATGGTTCCTTCAATTCATGAAAACAGCTGTTAGAGTAAAGTGTTGCGGAGGGAGGGATAGTTCCATCAATTCCTGAAAACAGCTGTTAAATAAAGTGTGGCAGAGGGAGGGATGGTTCCTTTAATTTCTGAAAACAGCTGTTAAAGTAAAGAGTGGCGGAGGGAGGGATGGTTCCTTTAATTTCTGAAAACAGCTGTTAAAGTAAAGAGTGGCGGAGGGAGGGATGGTTCCTTTAATTTCTAAAAAACAGCTGTTAAAGTAAAGTGTGACGTAGTGAAGGATGGTTATCTCAATTCCTAAAAAAACAGCTGTTAAAGTAAAGTGTGGCAGAGGGAGGGATAGTTTCATCAATTTCTGAAAACAGCTGTTAAAGTAAAATGTGACGGAGAGAGGGATAGTTCCATCAATTCCTGAAAACAGCTGTTAAAGTAAAGTGTGACGGAGGGAGGGATGGTTCCATCAATTCCTAAAAACAGTTGTCAAAGTAAAGTGTGGTAGAGGAAGGGATGATTCAATCAAATCCTGAAAACAGCTGTTTCAACAAATGTTCACATATCATGATAAAATTCAACAAAACCGTGAAAATTGGCAAAAATTGAATCAAAATTGAATTGAAATAAAGAAAAATCGAGATAATTAGAAGTAGAGACAAGCGAGGAAAAATTTATAATGTCGAGAAAAATGGAGAGAATTGAAAAATGTAGAAAAGTGGACAAATGTAGGACATGAAATAAATTAATATAAAAAATGAGGCAAATGGGGGGAAAATTGAGAACATGTTATGACTCAGTATAGATGGATTGTCATCGATAAGAATACACAAAAACAAATGATGGGGAATAAGGAAAATTTTTGGTAAAATATAGAAAAATGTAGAAAAATATCTTTAAATCATTACACCTGATTCTCCATATGCTAGATGAGGAGGAACGATCATCTTAAACCTGTCTCCTAAACATCTTCCTGCCAGAGCCTCCTCGTATCTAGAGATGGGGCACGGTTGTTTAATAAATCCCGGGTTACTCTCGACGCGCTCCAATGTACGTAAAATGTCGTCTCCTAGGATAGATAGAAAAAAAGACGTCACTCTCGCCCCTAAAATCAGTGACATCATATGAGGTTTTTATATAACTTTCATAGTAGACGACATTTTTCCAACATTAGAGCGCATCGAGAGTAACTAACCTTATTATACAACCATGGGATAAGGATTCAAATAACTATGGTCGGTGTTTTTTGAACTTTTAAGGTTTTTGAGTTGTAACATTTGCCTTAATTAAAATTTTCTAAACTTTAAAATACAAGGAAAACAATCAAAAACGATCATTTATTGTTCGTTTTTTTGCCAATGTTTCCTATTAGGATCAAGTAAGTGCAGTGTAAGGAAAGTAAATGTTTAGGATTTCATCTAGATTAATATTTTTAAAAAAGTTGCATCCAACAATTTTCTGCATTAATTAAATTTAATGACAAATGATGGTAATGTTTTGTATTTAACACAAAACAAGTTTCTTCAATTTTTCGTTTCGTTTTTTGATTAAAAGAGAGATTTGATACAAATTGAGATGGAACCCTTTTAAAAATTTTCCATCACTAATCCCTGTAAGATGCATTCGGAACCCCACACCTCACATTAAACTAAGCTAGTGGGTTGGTTAAATAGGCCTATGATAGGCCGGGTACTGTACAAAGTCTGGCCGCACCATTAAAGTTAAAACCAAGTTGGCATAGGATAGGGTCTTGTTTATCCTTGTTTATGTTTTTAAAACTAATCATTTTTATTTGTGGTTTTGACAATAGAGAAATGTACAGATTAAAAAGATAGAAAACGTTATTTTCCACATTGTTGATCAGATAAGAATCCAAGAGTACCGTCATGAATCGGACATGCCCTTTTTTAAAATGGACAGATGACACTCCCTTAAAATATAAAAAGTTACCCTGCAATGATCTGATGGTGTCCCTGTGTGAAGGGTCCAAAAGGAGCATTTCGAGCAGCGCTGGAATCAAACACTGTTCCGTTCTCCAGAGAACCCTGAATACAACGAATGCCCACTTATAGTGTCGTCTTTCATTTTACATCTGACACTTGTGACGTCATGCGTAACAAGTAAATTTTTCTGTTGCCATGTCTACTGTACTTGACAATTTATTTGAGAATGCCTGATTTAAAAAACGTATATTTTGCGAAAACACTGAAAAAAATATATACTTTTGTCTTCAAATTTTGGGGAAATTATTTTATCTCAAAATCGGGGTCGAAAATTAGATTTCAAAAACGTCAAAGTTCTTTGAAAACCCTGCTGTCACGAAGGCAGAGGCATTTCTCAATTATAAATTATGCAAGCTTTAAAAAATGGTTCTTAATAAAAAGAATTTAATTTTTAATGCTGTTTACCATTCAAAAAGTTATCGTTTAAATAACGATGAGATTTCATTAGAATAGGAAGACGACATTAAAATAATATTTAATTGCATTTGAAGTTATTAACTCACTTTAGAAAATTAAATATATTTATTTATTTGTTTCACCTCGTACTCGACAGCCAAGACGTCACCATCTATCACCACTCGCTCACAACTTAATTAAAGCAAAAGTTTTAAATGTTTATTAATCACAACCAAATTCTTTAAAGGTCAAAATGAACTTGGCTATGGGCTGCGTGAAGTTTTGGGCTTGTTTAAACTTTTCTATTAAAGATCAAATCTGTTTACAGGGACTGTGACTATAATTTCAATTGACCATTTAATGGAAAAGTTGGAGCGCGCCCAATTCTTCACGGTCCCCTGAAAACAAGAGCAGCAATGAGCTAAATATCTTCTTTTTTCCTTCTTTGGTTCTGCTGCATAAATCTGCAACTGATTGTTTAGAAAAACTCCAAATGAAAATTATCAATTTTCGGATATAAACACAAAACTTATCCTTAGGGTACCGTTTGTGAATCGGACTTTACTTGTCTGGGTTTCTGTCCGTTTGTATCCCATAGGCCATAAACGTCAAAACAGCTGATCCGATCAGTTCCAAATTTGCTCTGGGACCTCGCGTGACTCCAGGGAAGGTTTATGGATAATCAAATTTTCCAAATTTGCCTCCATTTTGAAAAATTTGAAAATCCACGAATTTTTTTATAAAATCCTCAAAATTTTTGAAATAAAAGCCTAGTTTATACATATATATGAGCAAAGAGCTTTATTATATAGATTATCTGTTAATCACATACCTCTCGTCATCAGCCTGCAAATAAATAGAATATCAAAATAGTAAAAGTTTTTTTTAATTCAAATATATGACATGGATATTTAATAATATGTCCTCTAACCTCCTCTAGAACTCCGAGAACTAATCCTGATTGAAACTTTTCCCATCGTAATCCATTCAAATTTACTGAATAAAAAGTAAATAAAAAGATTGTAAATATTTAAACATTTCATTTGTAAATATTTAAACATTTCACTTGTAAATATTTAAACATTTCATTTGTAAAATATTAAAACATTTCACTTGTAAATATTTAAACATTTCACTTGTAAATATTTAAACATTTCACTTGTAAATATTTAAACATTTCACTTGTAAATATTTAAACATTTCATTTGTAAATATTTAAACATTTCACTTGTAAATATTTAAACATTTCACTTGTAAATATTTTAAACATTTAAAGAACTTTTTAATAAAATTTTTTATAATCCTGAAAATTACCGAATTAAAAGGATTAAGAAATAAAATTAATTTTCTGGGTCTATATATATATAAAAAAAAAAAATTTTAAATACTGTTTTTTATATTTTTGGACATTTTCAAAATCTAAGTGATCTGAGTGATGGACACCAAAAATAAGTATGGCAAAAGAAAATTAGGGAAATTTGAAGTTTTCCATTTCGGCTTAATTAAATCGCTTAGATTCAACAAAAATGGCTTCTTTGGCAGTCCTCCAACTATGCTGCCAAATAAGCGATTTTTGTTAAGTATAAGCGATTTTCTTTCTTCATAATTTAGAGTGCAGTCTAAAAGAAGTTTTTTAGAAATCCTGTTTTTGATTCCAAATAATGGCTAAGTAGTAAGTAGTAAGTACCTAACTCTGCCTCCAGGTAGGTACTTATCTCAGATATATCGGGCAAAAGGACTTTAAACTCAGATCTAAAACAAAAACAACTAAATATTCATAATTCATTATAATGTAGAGGATATGAAATCCATGAAAGAGGATTATAAAATTCGTTAAAAAGAAGCGTTGGATTCTGGAACCATTCTGACATTAAAATTTTCATTTTTGTCATTTTTGCCACAGTCTCTATTTTTCTATCTTTTATATCTTTGCGACCTAATGTCTCGTAGACGACTTTTTTATTTCAAACTATGATTTCCGTAAGATCTGTTAGTCAAAGGTTCAAAGCTTTAGGTTGTAAAGATAAAGAGATGTAAAACTTATGGTTTTTTGCGAGTATTTAATTCATTTGATCTACTGCATTGAAAAAAAAATCATTTAAGATATGATATAAAGAATTTTTAGTTTATTTTGCTTTTGTTTGTGACTTATTCAATTTAGAACAGATATTAAAAATTTCATTTTTTAAGATTTTTTGTCACATTAAATAGTCTACGTTTGAAAGATCATAGGTTTACACCATTAGGTTGCAAGGATATAGGGATTTTAAATACAACAAAGTTTCTGTCAAATATCTTTATAACCTTATTTTGTGTTTAGGAATTATCAAACTGCGTCTCTCTCCAAGACACATTCCTTAAAATAAAATAAATTAATTCTTTAAATACATTTTTTTTTTAAAGCTTCAAAAATACTTTAAAAACTAAATGCGCAAAAATCCATGAGAATTTTTCCAAAAACAATTTTAAACCTTAAGTTAGAAACAAGCGTGATAAAGGGGAAAAAGTAAGTTGGTCAGGAACAGGAAACCCCTAATGAAAATACAAACAAATGCAAAATAGAGGCAAATTGGCAAAATTGGCAAAATTGGCATAGCTATTTTAAATCCGTTTTCTTACCTAGCATTCCATTTCCATTGAGCGTAATCGTCTGTCCCCTTCCCATCCTATAGATTCAAATATTAAATACTAACGGAAGGGCCCGGCGTTGCTATCATTTCACATAGACTCTATGCCTTTCACTTTACAAACGATGATTCTCCGTTATAACTATAAATCAAATGATGGTTTTTATTCACCTAATTCATTATAAAGTTTATTTGACAGCTATAAAAATTCGAAATTGAAATGGAACATACTGTATTAATGTACTCTACTGCAAATGATTTGTGAACATTTACATGATTTGTACACTTTGAACTCCCTTTCAGGCTGAAAGGGACTGAAAAAATTCATACCGAGAGATTCTTAAATTCCCCTCTGATATATATTCTATTCTCTTTGATTTGTAATTGTTACTTCTCTTATTTAAGAGCTGTTGAGAAGAATAATAAAAATGTTTTGAATTTTATAAATGTAGCCGAATAAAGGAATTGAGTCTTTGCCACAAACTCTGATTTTTTAATCCCTGTATCTTTTAACCCACTGTTGTAGACCTTAGATATTTCAAGCTATGAACTATGTTAGATCAAAAAATCAAAGTTTGAAATATCAGGTTTACACTAACAGTTTGTCGAGATATGAGGATCAGAAAATTTTAATTTGTGGCAAAGACTCAATTCCTTTGCTCTTCTCACACTTCTGTGTAAAACCAAAATTAGAGGAGCTACAAGGTCTCAAAGTTATACCAGTGAAGTCTCATAAATTTTACCTTCTCCTTGAGTCTAGTGTGCAGTGTAATTCATGAATATTTAATACTATTCAAGGGATTCTCTAATTCTATTGTAAAGTTGGACTATGTGAACATAAGTTTATCTCAGTTCTGGATTTTCTGTCATTTAATTGTAATATTTTACAAATAAATTTAATTAAGCTTTTACAGCAAAATTTAAAATTAACTTTTATAGAGAAACCACAATTTATTTACAGAAAAAAACATAGAAGACTATATTCTAAATCATAAAGAAATGCAACTCTATAATTGGGCACTTGAAATTGTGCTAAAAACAGATTTATACAGGGTGGTTTTGAAAATGTGTCTTTTTCATTTTGTTAAGAGAGATATAGATGAAAATTCGACAACGTCTTTTCGTGGAATTATCAATTTCTTTTAAATAGTTTCGCAAATGTTAAGTTTTGAAAAAGTTTTGGACGATTTTACATCTTTTTCATTAACAAAATTAAAAATGACATTTTTCAAAAACGCCCTGTAGTCCCTTTAATATGGTTTCGTAATGTGCCAATTGTACCTGACCGTAATATGGTTTAGTAATGTGCTAACTGTACCTGACCGTAATATGGTTTCGTAACGTGCTAACTGTACCTGACCGTAATATGGTTTCGTAACGTACTAACTGTACCTGACCGTAATATGGTTTCGTAACGTGCTAACTGTACCAGACTATTATATGGTTTTGTAATGTGCTAACCGTACCAAACCGTAATATGGTTTTGTAACGTGTCAACTGTACCTGACCGTTATATAGTTTTGTAACATACTAACTGTACCTGACCGTAATATAGTTTGGTAACATGCTAACTGTACCTGACTATTATATGGTTTCGTAATGTGCTAATTTTACCTAACCGTTATATGGTTTCGTAACGTGCCAGCTGTACCTGATGTAATATGGTTTCTTAACATGTTAACTGTACCTGACTGTAATTGCTTTTTCAATATCCTTGACTCCTTCTGTTTCCCCTCTATACTCTAGGTTCATGGTTACTGAGTCCTCTTCTACTACTGGGCCTATACAGTCCCTGCAGTACAGTACAGTTTAACAGTACAGTACAGTACAGTTTAATTGTGCAGTGTAGCACAGTAACTGCAGTGCAGTACAATTTAATATACTCTAGGTTTATGGTTTCTGAATCCCCTTCACCTACTAGGCCTATACAGTCCTGCAGTACAGTACAGTACAAATTACAATATATCGTAAATATCAATAAGGTTTACAGTATCGTACATGATAAACGTGTAGTGCATTATTGTACAATATTACAGCTAGTTCAATAAAATAATGTAAAATTAAACAGCTAAGTACAGCATTGTACATTACAGTACATTACAATGTAAGAGTGTAGTAAGGTTCAGCACAATACAGCAAATAAAACTACAGTGTATCAGTGTAAGAGATCGACAAAACTTTATAAATTCTAGTTTCTATATTCAAAAATAAAACTGCTCAACTATCCCTTTTTATTTATTGACTACTGTGTGATTCTTTATCTCACTTGAAAATCGGAACTCAAAGTTCTGGTCTCACATAAACAAGTTAAAAACATAGAAGATATTTTATTTATCTTTGAACCTGACACAATATATAATCCTTAAAAACTAAGTACTAGGGTTAACATATATGAATACGAGCCTTCAGAGTAAAAGTATCAATCTAAAAGAACTAGGTAAAACTTGGAAATAGAAAAGGGGAGCAAAAGCAAAAGTAATAAAGAAAACTTCAAAACCTGAATAGACGGAATCACACGCAGTTTCACTCTGGAGAAATTTCTGTTCTGAACTCAGGCTTGGGGAGAAATCAAGCCCCTTTTTATACTCCCAAGGGAGCAGTAACTGCGCGCGATAATTAGACTATATGGATTTTGATTGGTTATTGATATTTATAATGATACATAATTGGGTAGAAAGGGTTCCAATTGGTGGGGATAGAAGAGAAGAGGGTCTTTTAATTATCGCAATTATTATAATTGCGTGGCATGAGCTCTGATTGGCTGAGGGGTTCAAAAAGAAGGGGATAAATTTCACCATGGAGTAATTATATGTCGTTCAGTGGGGGAAAAGCGGAAGTTTTATAATTAGAAAAGAAGGGGACGTATCTCACCCCTCAGTAATTATGAGCAATTAAGTTCCAGAATGTTTTAGTTTAAAACAACATAATACGAGAAAAAACAGACGCTCCATAATTATGAAAAGAAGGGGACGTATCTCACCATACAGTAATTATACATAGTAAATAGCAGTCAGGAGAGGGGTGAGATCAGCTTAATTGACATATAATTGGGCAATTATTACTGGGCAGGTGATTAACAGGATATGGGGGAATCCTTAGATTCAACTTTTTCCGGTTCATTGTAGGAACAATCATTCTCAGTCTCTAGGTCTTTGAAATCACTTTCATTCTCTGACAAATTCGTTTTATCTTCATTTTCACCAATTTCGTCTTAATCATCATCATCTGGTTCATCTTCATGATCTTTGTCTTCTGGTAGAATAGGATTTACACAGATGCATAAAATATAAACACTTTTTGCTAGAAAAAGAGCGAAATACGCACATCAGTGTAATATATTGCGGTGCAATAAAATAAATAATAGTATAATAAAAGTTAGCAATAGTACTTGCAGTATGTCCCAAGAGCTATACCTAACATCATAACATTGGTTGATTAAACCATAACCACAATAAAAGATTATATCAAAAGAAACAATTAAGAGGAAATGATCATTGGCAGCAAACCCCAAATGTCTAACCTTGTATTATTGATATTTTGAGTTTTAAAAAAGTCTACGATATAAGTTTGCAACTTAAAAAGAAAAAGTTTAAATTTAATGCTCATTTATTTTATGATAAAATTCCCAAAAATGCATCAAAACTATAATAAGAGAAAATGCTTGACCTTGGTTTCCATATTGTTTTAAAATAAATATCTCCAGATTTTGTGTAGTTGGAAATATCCTCCTCTACTATACCCTCTTCATCTTCCACTCCAGACACCTAAGCATCATCATCATCATCATCATCATCATCATCATCATCATCATCATCATCATCATCATCATCATCATCATCATCATCATCATCATCATCATCATGGACTCTAAATACCTTGGCACACAGAATTGTAAAGATCAACGTGAGAAAAACATATTTCATTATATAGTCTAAAATTATAATTAAAAGAGAATTAATGTCTACAATCTAGGACTTCAAAAAAAGGTTAAATTACGTTAGAAAGGTGAAATGAAAGGCCAAGGCATTGAGACACTTTAAAGTTTACCATTTATGTAAGTTTGCAAAGCTTAAAGCTGTCTGAATCTATGAAAATTCCTGAAAAAAATTACATTATTAAAGTAAGTATAAAGTAAAGCATTAATCGAATCATAGAAACTGAAAGGGTTAGAATTAGACCTGCCACCTGGACTCTTGAGTTAGTGCACTGATAGTATTTTTTTTCATTTATTAATTCATTTTTCCAGCCTGCAGAAATAATTAGAAATTATAAGAAATAATTAGAAAAAATTGTAAAAATGAGAACTATGTCTGATTCGCAACGGATACACCTTTATCAAATCAATAATGTGGTCAAAGTCAATGTTTTTTAGTTTTGAAAGTTTAAATTCTAAACTTTTGTACTTTCATGGAGAATTCACAATCAAAAATGATTATTTTTTGGAGAGAAAATGAGGGATATCTGTGAATGGAAGGTTTTTGATATTGACACTTTTACAATGTTCAATCTGTTAATGGAAGGTTTTTATATTGACACTTTTACACTGTTCAATCTGTTAATGGAAGGCTTTTATATGAACACTTTTACATTGTTCAATCTGTTAATGGAAGGCTTTTATATTGACACTTTTACACTGTTCAATCTGTTAATGGAAGGTTTTTATATTGACACTTTTACACTGTTCAATCTGTTGATGGAAGGTTTTTATATTGACACTTTTACACTGTTCAATCTGTTAATGGAAAGTTTATACATTGACTCTTTTACATTGACACTTTTGTTCAATCTGTTAATGAAAGATTTTTTCATTGACACTTTTACATTGTTCATTCTGTTAATGGAAGGATTTTTACTTTGACACTTTTATAATGGAAGGTTTCTTGAAATTATTTTTACAATGACACTTTTACAATGTTCAAATCTGTCAAAACCTTTTGGGTTATAAATTATCCATGCATAGATCCAATCTACAATAAAAAGTTGCATACATTATAAAAGACTGGGTCGACTTTGACGTTTCGCAACACCTAGCACTTTAATTTTAACTCATTAACTTAAAGTTCTTTTTGTAGCTCTAGATGTGTTCATTTTAGAACCATATGGAATAGGTTTTTGTGAAGTAATTCTCATCGATTTTTGCAGGACGGACAGCTACTTTTTGCAGGACGGACAGCTACTTTTTGATCACTGTAAATCTAATTCATATATACTGCTATAATCTACTATAGCATTTCTAATCCATCCCTCGTATATGTAGCTCCCCTCCAAGCATGTTTATTTTTCATTCTGCCCCTCCCCTCCCCCCTACTTATCCCTTTCTATCATCCCCCTCTCTTCCCCCCTTTTACCCCCTCCCATTCCTTTTATTTTGTTATTTGCACATGTTTTCATGCATAAGAAATACACTGAATACCAGATGCCTAGAATATAGCAGGGTTTCATGATTCCAGGGATAGTTCAGAAACATGAGACATTTCAAACTTTGTTTAACATCTGGGCTACTAGTATAACTTTGTACCTTACAATACGTCCAGAGTGTATAGTTTAATCTGCAGCATGGTTTATTCGGGTCTGTCCTAGTGAACGATTTTTGGACACCCCCCACCCCCAGCCCCCCTCCTATCAATTTTGTACATGACCAAATTAGTATTTATTTAGCATTATTTAGGGTTAGGTTTGGTTATAACACTTTCTGGGCCGAGCGCTGCGGAATATACCGTTTATTCTTTATAACAAACCCTAAGAAACAAATGTTTAAATGTTTTTTTAATACACAATTTTTTTAGATAAAAACGTACCATTTAAAAGTTCACAAAACTGTCTCTTCCAAGATTTGTTATAAAATAATCATTTTGCATTGCTCTGTTTTCAAATCTCTGCATAGAATTAATTAGAGAATAATACAGCATTGTAAAATGTTCTATAAATTATATGTTTATATGAGTGTAAATGTTTATACATTATATAAATGTGATTCATACATTACAGCTGCAATAACTCATATAAGTTATCGATTTCTTTAAAACTTTTTTATCACAATGATGTGTTATTATACCAATTATGTATTCGTATTTATCCTAGAATCACAATGTCAGTGTCATATACAAGCTAACTTCTCTGTGTAGAGCTAGAGCACTATGTAGTGTATGACTATGAGTGTATTGAGCAGTTGAGCTCATATAAGCAGACGTCTCATATTCAATTCTACTACAGTTCCCCTTAGAAGCCCCCCCCCCACTGCCCCCCCATCCCCAATACCCATCAGGACTCAGTTCTTAACCCCAAAGGAGGATTTTGTATATTTGAAAAATAATCAAAAAAATATTTTATTAATAATAACTATTTTTTATAGATTATAAAACTTTTTTAATCCCCGTAAATAAAATATTATGAAATCCCAAGTTAATCCCCCTTTCCTCTTCTCTCCTCTGAGGTCCCAAACTGGAAAATTATCATCGGAACTAATGCTAATCCGAACTTATGTTCATCGGAACTAAACGTTATCTGCCCTCAAGTTCACTCATACTAATTTTCATTTAAACTGATATTCATCGGAACTAATAATTCTCAGATCTATATTTTCCCCGACATGACTTTTGACGAACCCTGAAAATCGAGCAGATTAACACATAAAAATAACAGGAGGTGCATCCTATATGACATGTATCAGAATATTTTTTTTCACACTTCGATCTCCTATTTGAAATCAGTCAAAAAGAGTAAAAGACTTTATATACACATGATAATAAAATACAAAAAAGTTTTAAAGGACAAAAACAAAAACTTTGCATTAACCCTAAACAGGCGCCCCCCCTGTAGTTTTTTTTTGTCCTAGCACTATCATTTTTGAGACTATACCTTGCAATTTTGTGACTTTTAATGAACAGTAATTTAAAGAATTTTTGTTAAAAATATTTTTTTTATTTATAGGGTAGGGTACAAAAGAGTCTGGTCTGTGAAAATAATCTAAAATAGCCCTTAACTTTTTTGTGACTAAAGCTACAGATCTAAAAATGCAAATGCATTATCCCTGTAGGCTGTACATATTCTCTAAGGTCATTACTTATAGGGTAGCCCCCCCCCCCAGCTATACATAGATTCAGAACCCCCAGCCTTTATAGGGTTAAATGGGTGAACATGGGTTCTAAAGTTAAGGCTCACTTAAAACCTTTTATCCGGATATCCTATGCAATATCAAATAAAGACTAATAAAAGATGAAAATAAAAAGTTTATTCTTTGAAAAATTATTCGAAAAAAATGTCCATAATTCTTACTTAAAATATGCTAAAAAATTCTTATTAATGCTATTTCGTGAACTAATCTACTCGCTCAAAACTATCCTAGAGTTATTAAACCTCGTCATGATCTGCTCAAGGTTGATTGGAACCACCACTAAGCTTTAGATTCTCTTGAATTAAATCTACTTTCCAAATTTTCGAAATATTTTACATTATGAAGTTCACAATCCTTTATGATTTTTTTTAGCTTTTTAATAAGATTCGTAAATGATAAAACAAAGCAATCAAAAATGTACACAAAAACCACAGTGTTGGTTAAAATAAGACAAGGTGAAATGATCTCTTTTGATTATGAAATGTAACTAAAGATTATATAATTTGAGCGGATAATAAATTTTACTAGCAAAATAAAGTTTCATCAGAGCCCCCGATTTAAAAGCTTCGGCTCGAGTCTTAATTCCTTAAACGCAGCTTTAAGACCCAATCTTATACCCAACTCTGATGACAGCTTGTGTCACGTGATTGACAGCTGCGAGATCTTGGGCTCGACTTAAGGAGTTAAGCCCAATGAAAATATAACCGACCTTGGTTGGTTTTAGTGAAGAATAAGGCTCAATGTTGGGTCTTATTCTCATCAAAACCCGGAATCACCAATTCCAACTATGAAAATCCGCCAAATACAACATTAAACCGGTTTTATGAACTAAATTCTGTTGAAAAATAGATGCAACTCAAATTCGAAAGCCCGAGCCGTAAATAAGGCTCAACAACAGCTTAGACCCGAGTCTTATTTTCTTGAATTTTTTAAATCCCCGGCTCAGGTTAACTAGAAAAGAAGAATATTGGAAAGAATTAATTAAAATGAATCAATTTTTTTTTAAATATGAAAATAATAACAATTTCCAATTGGTTAAAAAGTATCTTTTTAAAAGTCCACATAGCATTATTTAAGAACATTCAGCGTTAACAATATGGAATATGAAGGAGACAGTATAGCAACACTTAAGTGCATGTAATGTTGTTACAGAGCAAAAAGTTTTTCTTGACACTTATAAGATCACTAATTTAGTAAAAATAGGCACACTGTCCAATTGCTGTGGTTTGTGCTCATTTGAATTTTTTAAGTTATAACTTGATTCTTAAAGTCGTCTTCCTATTCCAGAGTTTTCTGGTTATTACTGTATCATTTACAAATTTCTAATAAGTTAGCAAAATTTAACATAATCATTAAAGCATCAATTATTCCTAAAGTTTTCTGGCTAAACCACTAGGTAAATTGGGGCTTCTTTGGTTTGGAATGTTTAAATCACAATTTAATCAAAAGATGATAGAATCATAATAAACGTCTATACATGATACAATTAACTAATTAAAACTGGAAGATTGATTGATTGATTAGCGTAGGCTTCAAGTCCCTCTCCGCTGTAGGAAACTATGGGAGAAAGTTCCGCGGCATCCTGCGCTCCGCCAGAAAAAATGGCTCCCGCTTCTTTTAAGTATCTCCTGGAATATATGTCACATAAATTTTAATGTAAGGGGATCATTCATTTGGTGAACTGTCCCGGTTTTCCTTACATAGTCTGTAGTTGTACTGTACAGCGACTACAGCTTGCTCGAAGCTAGTTAAAAGTCAACCTGGTACTTGAAATGAACTGGAGTTTACAGTGATATAAAATAAAATGATGAATATTTAAATTGTGGCAAAACTCCAATAATCGTAAGTTAAAAAGTTAAAACCCGACAGTTATTTGAAGGACCTATCCATTAAATTAACTAATTATTAACAAATAAAGAAACAGGTTTTAAAAATTATCAACTTTTTAAAGGGTCTTTATGCATAATTTTAAGTGACCCTCAATGCAAAGATTTCTCTACCCGACTTACAACGGTACCCTTAAAAGCTTAGTTTGATCAAGTATGATCTTTATACTGTTTATTTTCATTTATTGTTTCTCTGCAAAAGTGACTTCTGCATGTCTTGCTTAAAAGAAACAATGCAGAAATTCACAGAAATAAACGTGTTGTAAGTCAGAAAAACGACGCTTTCTTCCACATTCTTGATCAAAGAAGGGTTTCAAGAGCACCGTTGTAAATCGGGCATTGCTATCTTTGAGATGCATGGAGCTTTCACTTGCATATTACGCTTATATACTATATATATAGTCCATTTCATCTTAATATTTAAAACATTATCATGGTAAAACCTGTGAAGTGCATACAGTGCTTCTCTTGCGGTTGAGGGTGTGTCTTTTGCAGCGCCCTCTCCATTTTTTAAAGGACTTGAAATAATGTAATTAATTTGTATTCTTACACCTTTATTTTTATTATCGTAGAACTGAATGAACTAAGAATTAACTTTTCTAAGAACTAGAAAAAAGGAAAATATATAAGAAAATGAGTGTTCTAGTAATGTATATTATACTAAATTAGAATTTGTAAAAAAAAAAATTTTAAAAAATGACGAACATTTCTTTTGAATTTTTATCCTACATGTACGTTCCATATAACAAAAAAATTCAGCCAATTTGGTCAAGACGTTAACATATAAGTATATACATATGAGCGAAGAGCTTTATTATATATACAGGGTGTCCCACATCAAATTAGACCACGTCAATGGGTCTAAATTACGATTTGGGGGACAAATCAGAAAATTTAAGAAGAATGAATCATTTTGAAAAATCTAATAAGGCTAATAGCAATTTTTTGCAGAAAATGCTAGATTTTTCGAGTAATATGTGTGTTTTTTGGCGTTAAAAATTGGAGATAATCGAATATGATATGGAACGCTCTGTAGATCAATGTTTATAGGGTAAAAAGCACCTAAACTCCTCTTCTCTGTTACACTCCCAGACCACAAAAGATTTTGAAAACTGGAAAACATCAAATACAAACTTCTCCAGCTTTATTCCATTCGGAGAATCTAAACCAAACAAATTTTAGTTTTTTAGTTATTTTTCTTTTTTAGATTTCAGGATTTCAAATATTAATATTAGTATCAACAAAATATTAAGAGTACAGGGAAGGAAGGGGCACCGTACAGGAAAGGGGGAAGGAGAAAGCATACTTTTTTATTATAAAAATGAATGGTTGTTGGCATATGAGACAAAAGTTTGTTAAAAAAAATTATGTGAAAACTTTTGTCTCTTTTCGGAAAATTATTTAAGTTTAAAAAAGAATAATGAATCGGTTAAAATATAAAATCAATGAAAATATTAGGAATTAAAACATAAGCTTTCTTGGTGCTCCCATTCCGTTCTGAGAACCCTTTATACCATAGATGATCCTTGTGGTCTTTGACCTAAAAATATAAATGACCTACGGAGGTCAAAATGTTAAGCCAATGGAAATGATTCGTCATGCAGAATCGCAGTTCTTATTATATGAGGTATCACAATCAAATCATAGGTTTTTTGTGTTCCGATTCCAATCAAAGGCCCCTTTTTGACCAAAGATGATGCTCAAGGTTTTTGACCTTAAATTACTATCAAAATGTAATATCCTTGTACCATGTTGGATCATAAGCAACGATTAGACCCTTTGATGATATTTCAGTAAAATTCTGTTAAAAAAAGTGTAAGCTCTTTGTAGACCATAAATCCTATCTTGAAATCTTTCTCCAATAGATGTCGTCTTGAAAGCAAAACTACCCTTTCAGAGCCAAAACCAAGCCCAACTTTTCTCCGACAAACTTGGTGAAAAGTGAAAACACGATTTAAATGTAGAAATGCTTAAAATTAGTGATTATAGATGCAAAAAAAATTATGTACCCGACCAGGGTAACTATTATTGTATAAAACTCATCGAAAATTGTCAAGACGACATTTTATAATTTCTTTCGATGTCTGCAAAGTTCTACAGGGTGTCCCAACAAGCATGGGAATTCAGTGACGAATTCGATATCGTCTTTTCAAATAATTCTTTGATTTAGTATAGTGATACCTACTGAGAAAGCTGTAATCTGTAAGAGTTTCGTCTGCTATGTTTACATTTTGTTTGTTTATGTTTTGACTGCAACCGGTGGTACTTAGTAAAACAAGAAAATTGCAGTATACAAACAGAGTAAACTTGTCCGTATTCACTGTTCATCTTGCGGAGACATTATAGACACATCTTTGCAGTCTTTTACCCTTTTCATTAAATAAACTCTAGCAGACATAATAATATTATGGCTTTTGAAATTAGGCCTTACAATGCTAATTCATAACAAAGACGATATCCAATTCGTCACTGAATTCCCATGTTTTTTGGGACACCCTGTATAAGATTTAACTGTAGATATTTTGATGTTTAATTGTGATCTTAAATAAGTCATTGGCAAAACTTTGTTTAAATAAATACCTGGTTTTATTTGAATTCCTGTTTCTGGGTCCACAAAAGGAATTGCTTTCTTTGCCACGTGGTAGGGGATTTTCTTCTCATGCTCCCGACAAACACGCTAAAAATAGAGGTTTTCTAGAGTATGAAATCCCTGAAAGGGGATTTTAAAATCCGCAAATCAGTTTTGTCAGTTTTCTGGAAGCAGAGAAGACCTACTCATCTTCCTCTCCTTTATCCTTGTTGTTTTATCTAGCAGTAATAAATGTACTTCTAAAATTCTTTTTTTTAAACTTACGGATCCTTTCCTGAGAAAAATAAACAATTAATTATTCGATCCAGATGTATTCTTTTAGGAATAATCGTTCAGTAAACTTTTATAAGCATGTGTCACCTAATTCTGTGTAGCTGTGGGGAGGTATAGATTTAATAAAAAAAAAGATATTTCCATAATTTTGAATTCTGTGTAGCTGTGGGGAGGTATAGATTTAATAAAAAAAAAGGTATTTCCATAAGTTTGAATTGTATATCATTCTTTAACGGCTTTAGAAAAATTTCCTGAATAAAAATTAAAAACCCTTGCTTAAAGAAATTAAATCTATTATGGATTATTTTTTCAATTTTAGTTAAGATAGATCAAAGTAAATTATTATCAAACCTTTAGGCTTTAATCTAAATAGTTTAATCTAAATAGTTTAATCTAAATCTACCAGTTTAGAGACATCCAAATATAACATTTATAGATATAATTTACTTAATTCTAACAGCTTTTAAGGTACATTTTACATTTTAAAAAGCTGTCAAAATTTTAAACTGTCAAGTTTGGTATAACACATTGTATCTCAATCAAACGTTTCAATCTCTTTACCTTAAGAAATTCTCTCTCAAAGAAATGATTACAAATATTCCCTGCCCTGTAGGTCAACCTAAACCAAGAAAAGTAAAATTTAGGAAAATAAAAATATTCAAAAATATTAAATGACCATTTATAACACTGGGGACACTTATGGTTCCAAAACTAGCACTTGGCCCATTTCTAACACTGCAGGTATTAGAAATGGGCCAAATTGAAAGACTGGGGTTTTAGGATCCAGGCCCATATAACCATAAAGCTTTAAAAGGGACAACAATTCCGAATTTTAAACTATTTTCTAATATCAAAATTCTAAAAAGAGTTATTTTCGTATCAAACCCCTTGACCGTTTTCAAGACAATGTTAGGTTTTCCCTTTACAAACATATCCTGAATTTTAATTATTGAGACAAACCCACTTACCCTTTTTTGAGTATAATCCGCAATTCAAAACAAAACTCATTTTTATAACTTACAAAATAAATCACTGAAAGTAAAAATTAAAATTGTATTGTATTTAAATATATAAACGCTTGAAAAAGATAACTTTGAAGATTTGGCACATTTCTAACACTCAGTGTTAAAAATGGGCCAAGTGTTTATTTTGGAACTAATTTCCTCCTATAACAGTTACGTAGATGCTACAGAACAGAAGTTTTCTATGTATCAAGAAGGTTAAAAGACTTGTTCTATTTTTTACCATCAAATGCGGATATTGGTGCGTTTATTGTAACCTAATGAATGCACAAAATTACGAAATTTGCGCAGAACAAAAAAATTGTCCATTCCGATGGAAACCCTAGTTTTCATTTAGTACTGAAAATATGCTTCGGATTTTTTTTTCATACTTTTGAAGTCTTTGATAATGGCGTGAAAAAAAATCTAGGCTATTCGTAGAAACTTTGTTTATATTAGATTTCCAACTAATTTTACCTTCCGTCTTTCTCTCTTAGTTCTGAGTTTTCTTTACTAATCTCACTGTACTCAACCACCTTAAACAGCTTAAGTCTATTGCTTGAAAAAACTTATAAAAGCTTTTTAAATTGTTGAGAAACACAATTTCTGTGGTAACTCAGATTTTTTTAAATCTTAGAAACAGTAGAACATTAAGTTTCACAACTGTCCGCAAGATAAGTAATATTAAACGCTTAAATTGTTGCAAGGTGAGGTCCACGAAGCGCTCTGAATGCCTATTGCCTAGTGTTATATAATTACGATTTGAAGTGTGAACCTCCATTTTTTTTTGCGTGGCATGTCTAAATTACAACGGTACCCTAAATTGTTTTGCCTCAAATTGTTTACTATAGGTACTCTATAAAAGTTAATAAAGGATTCATAACCTACAATATAGTATTCAGCAATAATAATTTTAGAAACAATTAGTTAAAAACTACATAATCCTTACTGACAGTTCAGAATATAAAGAAGGAAATAAAACAACTTTAATTCCACAGTTTGCTGGTAACCACTGTACAGACTGTAAACTAAGAAATAACTAAAATAAAAATCTTTTATATGCCACAAAAGAATCACGCATTTTTCAGCAAAACTTGAGTCCCTGATTTTGTAATTTAGAGTGTATAATGTAAATACCTGAACTTTGTCCTCTATCCGAACAACAACGCCCACAGGTTCACTAGGCCAGCCCTTCTCTATCACCTTGTTCCCCGCCTCTAAAAATATAAGTTTAAGAAGAATTTAAAATCATAATTTTCTTTACAGGGTAACAGAATTTTTTTTCTTACAGTGACTTGCAAGTTACTACTGCAAGAAAACATACAGGGATTATCAACAACATTTTTTAAAGCATAGAAAAACGACATTATCTTTCTACATTATTGATCAGAAAAAGGTTGCAAGGGTTGTAAATCGGAAATTGTCATATTTCCACTGATAGTCACATAAAATAACGCTGATGGACAGGACTGACTTCATAATTAATAGATATATCTTTGCTGTTCTTCTGGTAAAGTTGATGTCTTTCTAGAAAGGCATTGTTTTATGTTTACACGAAGAAAATGTCTAGTGTTGTTATTAGTTTCAACAAAATGTACGTAGATAATTTTGTAAATTGAAGAAATTGAGTTTTTGCCACAAACTCTGACTTTCTAATCCCTATATGTTAACAACATAATTTGTAGACCTTTGATACTTTAAACATTTATCTATTAAATCAAATTCAAGATGTCCCAATACAGATGGGAATTTAGTGACGAATTCGATATCGTTTTTGTTATGAATTAGCATTGTAATACCTGATTTCAAAAGCCATAATATTATTATGTCTGCTATAGTTTATTTTATGAAAAGGGTAAATGGCTGTAAAGACGTTTATTGTATACAGACAGACAAGCAATATATATAAGAAGTAAAACAGGACGGGACACAATTTAGAAATATTATTTTTCTTAGTATGGTCCTACAAGGAACATACTATTCTAATTAAGAAAATTTCTTTTTTTACATAAATGTTTTTTAGAATCTACAATTTTTATGAAAGCTCAAAGAAGACGACAAAAAAGATTATATTTAATTAACTTTTAGTTTTCCAAAGTCAAAACATATTTTTAAATTAGGTTTTAGTAACAATATTTCTTTTGCAGTACTCACAAGAATTTCTATAATTATTGGCGGAAGTTTAATGTTATCCACAAGCTAATTTTTCGAGGACACATTTTGTATTACAAGTCCCACAAGCCTTACACTACAACTGCAGGAGTCCATTTTTTATGCGAGTTTGATGTATGTTTAATACAAACCAACTTATGAAAGTTAATAAATGAATTAGTTTTTTGTCACAAACTTAAATTTTCTAATACCTAATTATTTACAACCTGATTGTATAAACCTGTGATATTTAAAACTTACACTACAGGGTGTCCTGCAATATACATGGGAATTCAGTGACGAATTTGATATCATCTTTTTAAATAATTCTTTGATTTAGTATAGTAATACCCACTGAGGCAGCTGTAATCCGTAAGAATTGCGTCTGGAATGTTGGCAATTTGTTTGTTTATGTTTTGACTGCATAGGTGTGTATTGATGATTGAATTTTCAAAAATTTGCTTCTAACAAAATTTTCTTTTTGAAAATTTACGAATTTTTTTTTAAATCCGCAACATTTTCAGATTTTATTTGTTTTACAATGTATACAAAGAGAACATGTTCACAAATGAAATAGAAGATGGATGCAAAACGCCCTGAACCCCTTGTTGTGAATATAATAAATAACTTTAATTTTGAATTTCACCAAAATGTTATGGCCTCATGGGTAAAAATCCAAATCCGTAAAAAAAAATTATAAAATCCAGTCTTCTATTTCCACTTACAATGGTTGCTTAATCTTTCAGCATTTTCTCTTCGATGAAAAAAGCTTTGCCTAATACAAATCTTTTAAAGAAAACTTTTTGACACCCAGACAAGCAAAGGTACGTATTATATTAATTACCTGCTTTTCTACTAATACAGAAGCCCATAAACCTGGGATCCGCCACTTTTACCAAGACATTGTCAACACAGTACACATGAAGGTACCTAGAAAGTTTGGTAGGTATTTTCCCAAAAGCATTTTATCAAGGGCAACTTCTCAAGTGACAATTTCCAAATTGACTACCTCCTAAATTTGTAATTTCCCAACGGTTAGGATTGGATAAGGAGCCGAGCACTGCGGATAGGGAAGACTTGGGAAGTTGCCGCTTGGGAAATTGCACATTTGGGAAGTTGCCAAGATTATTATAAACCAGTTTTTGACCAATTTGTTGTTCTCAACAACAACAAAAAATCGGGCTTATTATATAGTGCATAAAGTCAATGAGAACCCCGTAATTAAAAAAACTTACATCTTTTAAATTTTACCTTATCTCTTTTTTGTCCATGTCTTCCAATATTTTCTCCTCTCTGGAAATAAAATCTGGAACTGTCGACATAAATTCCGTTTTTAGTTTGGCGTGTATGATTAAAAAAGGTTTAGTTTGGCGTGTATGATTAAAAAAGGTTTAGTTTGGCGTGTATGATTAAAAAAGGTTTAGTTTGGCCTGTATGATTAAAAAAGGTTTAGTTTGGCGTGTATGATTAAAAAGGACCAAATCTTTTACCATTGTTTATTTTCCATTATTAGCAGAATTTAAAAATCTTCTATAAAAGATTTAAAATATATTTGTCCCTTTTATAAGCAAGGATTTTTTTTTTATTTTTTAATAGACTTCACATCGGAATCTAAAGTTGTGTGTTCAAAGTTGTAAGATTCTTTTTTATCCTGGTTCAAAAGTTTAGACTTAACAAAAGGTAAAAATAATTTTTTCTTAAAAATTCAGATATTTCAGATAAAATTTTTATTTTTTTTAAGTTTACCTGAGTGCTCTGTAGAGTCCACCATTTCCATCAGGAGACCTTGCCAAATTATATTTAGTTCTCAGGACAAACTTTCCCTGGATCAAGGTTTTAGATATTCTGGAGAAACAGAATAATGCAAAATTTTGCAAAAAATTTTGCGAAAGAAATGCAAAATTTTCGGCGAAACAAAAATGTTCGCTAAAAATGAGAGATATTCCCATTTCCAGGGGCGGATACAGGGGGGTGGCGGGGGGACATTCGCCACTCCCTGACAGATTCAGGGGGGGGCGTAGCCCTCCCTGAGATTTCGAGGCAAAAAATGTTCCCAATTTTATAAATCGAATGTGTTTTTCAATTTCAAGCTTTTTTTATTTAATGGAAATCTTGACTTTCTTTTCTTCAGTTTAATTTAAAAATCAACGACAACAAGTAAATGTTATTGTTAACGATAAATTTAGAATTAGAAATTTGTAAGAAACTAGACTTAAGTTATAATATTGTTCATATCTAGTAATGTTCCTTAATCAATACTCATTTATCAAAATTGTAATATTGGTCCTAATTTTGATGCATTTAAGTATAACTAGTAATTTCTTTTTGCTTAAATTGTTCCTATTATTGTTCCTGTTCCTAATACTGTGTCCGACCCACCTTAAATCCCTGTCCTTATCCTATATTTTTGTTCCTAATTCCTGAACAATCTTATTATTGTTCCTAAATCCCTGTCCGAATCCTTTAATTTTGTTCCTAATTCCTAAACAATCTTTTAATTGTTCCTAAATTCCTGTCCTAATCATTTATTTTTGTTCCTAATTCCTGAACAATCTTTCAATTGTTCCTAAATTCCTGTTCTCATCCGTTAATTTTGTTCCTTAAAGTTAATTAAAATTAATTTTGACTCTTTTTGAGTCTTTTAAATCCTAGCTCCAATATACTGGAAATGTCTTCATAGCAATGACGAGGGGGGGGGGAGGAGATTAAAAAAATATCGAGATCCCGAATTGATCTCAATATCCACAAGAATTTCAAGATCTAAAGTCAAAACTTTTGTTATTTAATTCATCTTCGGTGTCCTGTGATGGTTATACCTTGTATGGATAAATTCAACCTAATCAATAGAGCCCACATTGGAAATCGAGATCAAATCAAGTTAAATTACATATATCAACTGGCAGAATTTCTTATTTAAAAGATTTTTACAATTTTAAGTTTTCTTTGCTTTTTCATGGAGAGGCTACTTTTCAAAAGTGACTTTAAAATGATTGATATATATATTTACTAATATGTTTCTATTTTTTTTTATTTTAAAAGATTTATTTTAATCTAGTGTATATACCTTGTTATTAAACGCAGGGATGGTTTGTTGTTCAAAAATCTTGATTTGTTCTGGTAGTGCACCAAAATAGTTGTGCTTCACAAAATAATCTAAAAAGGTTTTATTAAACTCGAGCTAAAGAGCCAAGAAATTTTAAAAACAAATTGTCATAACCAATCGGCTCCCCCAAAAATTGTCAGCCAATGGTCCAGCTGTTTGGCCAGCTATAACGAACAACATTTATTTAACTCTCTTGGAAACCAAGCTTTGCCTGTTGTTGTCCCCCCAAAAAATTAACAATTCAACTTTTTCCCCAATTGAAATTTGAGACATATCAGTCTAAGGGTTCATGAATTATGATCGAACATCCAAACAAACAAACAGAGATTACTACTTAATATAAATTACAGATAGCATCCCCAATATAAAGGTTGACTGTGGTTAGGGTTGTTAATCGTTTTTGAAAACGATCATTAAACAATCGTTTTTTTCGTTTTCCTATCGTTTTTAGTTTCGTTTTCCGATCATTTTAAAAACAATCGTTTTAAAAACTTTTTAAAAAACGATAGTTTTTAAAACGATCGGAAAACGAAACAAAAAACGATAGGAAAACGAAAAAAAACGATCGTTTTTCAAAAAAAAAATGAAAACGTTAACATCCCTAACTGTGGTCTTATAAAATATTGAACCTTGTGCAAGGACAGGGTTACCCTCAAAGGATCATACTTTAATGCCGACCTAAAACTCTTAAAATATAACGATCTAAAGATTTGATTTGTCGTTATAGCAGAAAAATATTATCTTAATGGTATGCCAAATGATTTGTCAAAAAAAAATAAGTTTACATCCGAGGGGAAGCTGGAATGTACGATCAAAGATCGAATAATTTCCGTATCATAGTCTCTGAAGTTTTATCCTGTAACCCTGTAGATAAAAATGTTGCCAAAAAAAGGAATAAGATATAAAATATACCTTGGGTAGGAGTTTTTGTATGATCGCTTGTCATAATATACATTGTAATCTTCCCCGAGCTTCCTGTTAGTCTAATACAGGAATTAAGAATAAATTCAAAGAAATCTCAGAAATTATTTTAGTGTACAGTTTGTTCCATAGTGACAAGTCGAAGGTCGTCTTTTATCTTGTAAATTATTTGTGGCATTCATTTTCCTTTTAAGTCTATATGTATGATAAAAGTGTATTCTAGCAAAGTATTCCCACAATATTCTTTGTCCAGGCATTTTCAAAATGTGGTATGTCTTTTTGCGCTTTAAATAATACCAGAAATATTAAGAATTTCAAAATTCAACGACGACCTCCAAGAAGTTTCCCAACTTCCGTGTGTATTGGGACACCCTGTACTTCATTTTATTAAATAAACATAATCAGGATTGGTCACAATAGAAAGCTAACTGGAGAAAACGTGAAGATCATTGCAACCAATCTTTCTGCGAACCAAATGAAATTTTAAGAAAATAAATATTTTCTTTAAAATTAGATTTTAAAATTTTACCTTTTTGCAAGTTCTTCAAGTCTTAGGATTCTCTCAACCTAAATATATTAATTAATTTTTCAGACTTTAACATTGAGGAAAATTCAGTTGTTTAGTCACAAAACTTTTAACATTTTTGTCCGTTGTAAAAACCATAAAAAGTCATCGAATTTGTGAATTTGTGGCGGAATAAAAATTTGCCCGCAAAATGCGGAATTTGCCGGCAACTCTAATACTCGTAGAAAAGAAATTGAGTCGTTGCCATAAACTCAAATTTTTAAATTCCTATATCTTTGCAACCTGATAGTTGAAACCTTTGATATTTAAAACTTTTTTGATCAAGCAGAATTCATGGTTTAAAAATATCCAACATTTGGTTGTAAAGATATAAGGATAAGAAAATGTGAGTTTGTTGCAAAGATTTAGTGAGTTTACCTGGATTTGATAAAGCGATTTTCCACTGAGAAGACCAATATCATACATTCCCTAAACATTTTTTTAACAAATATTTATTTTTGAAATTCTTTTTAAATTATTGGATATAAATAGATCATGCAAAAAAATCAATTCAAATTATTCAAAAATGCTAATTGTTCGCTAATCGATTTCCTTTGTTCACTGGACACCCTAGTCAGATCCCTAAGCAGGGGTAGATTTTCTTTATAAACAACGCATTACAGAAACTAGTTTTTAAGATATTTGTTATATTTGAAGAGATCTTATGTTTTTATGAAACTTATTCAAAATATCACAAGCACAGTGTAAGTATAGACAATTATGATTACTATTAACATATTGTTTCTATAAATGCCTATTTATCTGTTATTTTTGGTGCCAGTCTTTATTCTTCCTAAGCTGGCATTTTTGTAAGCAGCACAATTAGTTCCAAAGTTTCCGGAATTTATCACCTTAGGATATGGAACTCCTAGCCTAGTTCCTTGTCCACCAGCAAGAAGTAGTACTCCAATATGACCATCAGATATTGCTCTATAATTTAATAGCTTTCTATTACGGTAGCCAGCAACCCAAATAACGTTATGTGAACGTTAGATAACGTCCATTTAAAGGCACAGTAACGTCGAAGATTATTGTAACTTTACTTGGTTTGCTGTGTGCAGGATAGTGTTAATTATTTATCATATTATTAACTCTCTTCGCCCATCTATATAAATTTACATATATGTTAGCTATAGCTGGCCAAACAGCATCTGTCCCAAAATGTAGTATTTACCTAAGTGCTAACTCTTCATAGTTCTGAAGTACATCCTCTTTGGTTGAATTAACACTACCAATTAGATCTTCATCAATAGGTAGCATTGCCTACAACAAATCAAACTGAAAAAAACATATGGCAAAAAAGATTACGGATTTTCTAGAAAAGTAACTTAATTTATGCAGTAGGACTAACAATTTCTTCCTAATTGATGTCGGAAAAAGTCTTGAAGTCCCTTGATCTGTTTTCAAATCAAAATTTTTGGTGTAAACTGCAATATCGTTTATTTAGAAAAAAAAGATTTAACTTTTGACAACTCACTGATGTATCAAGGAGTTGATCTCCTCTTTGTGTGATCTCCCAGCATTCCTGGAGATCTGCGACATCAACATCACGCAGCTCCTGGACAAGCTCTTGCTGTTCCTGGGCAGAGAGTTCGTCGTAGAAATTAAATACATGTTCTTGCCCGTACCTACAAATGTTTAGAAGTCAACAGCATGCACATCTTCAAGCAAAGAGCATGTGAACATTGCATGCTAAATCTCTATATCTTTGCAGCCTGTAATCATAGAGCTTTAATTCTTTCAAGCATCAAATTTGCTGGATTAGAATATCAAAATTTGAAATATCAAATGTTAAAATCAATATAGGTTGCAAAGATATAGAATTTAGAAAATTACAGCTTGTAACATACAAGCAACAAATTTCTGTTTTTGGTGCAGTATCGACACTAAGCTAGGTTTCAAAGGGTTAAGCCAACACTCAATTAAAACCAGTTTCTGGTGGATTTGAGACGCGGCATAAATTAATCAAATTCGGACTCTGATTGACTTTTGGATATATCTTACTTTTTATAAAGTTGTTTCAAGGCTTCCAGCTCATCCGACATATTGTCTAATCAAAGCAATATTTATTCTGAAATTAAGAATAATAGTTAAACACAAAATTAACGATAACAGATTATTAAGGATTTGTATTAAATATCATGATTTTACAGGACTAACGCTAATTTTATAATCCCTACATGTTTGCATCCTAGTGGTGCCATGGTGATGGAAATTTCAAATATTTACATCAGGTTGCCAAAATATTATAAGAAATGTTTCTGACAGTTTTAAGACGTTTAAAAATTTCATTGAAATTGGATGGGTATTTGAAAACATCAAAAAATGTATTCCTTTTTGAGAGAAGAAAGTAAAACAATTTGATAGAATTGATGTTGCAAAATTATAATATTTCTTCAATGTTAAAGACAGATATTCTCCTCTTGGATATCCAAATTTTACTCTCTATTTGTTAAATTTATATAATGTGAGGTTAACATTGACTATGTATCCACTGCATAGATTTATAAAAACACAGATAGATTACTAGATTTCAAGATTTAGGGGGTTTTCCTTCTCAATAACCCTGAAGCTGAGGCCCAACAGAGTTCCGCGTATAGCTCTCTCTCTGTCTTATAACGAAAAACCCTTAAATCTTGAAAAGACTACACCTAGTGTTCTATCTGTATTTTATATTAATCTATTATACACTGGTTAACCTATATCTAACCAGTTGTCTCTGTAAACTTTTACAGATTAAGACATTAAGCTTGTTTGCAATGTAAAAGTATGTATTGCAGTTTAAACCCTCTTCTGACGTCTTTAAATTATAACTGAGGTTCTTAGATTCTGTAAACACATCAGGGTGTTTTGGTGCTACTTACACCATGTACAGATACCTAGATACTGGAGCAGCTGTACTATAAGGGAGTTCAAAGAACGTATTTTTAACAACGAATGTAAGAACATGGTTGAAATCAATTATAATCATGAACAGCTTAATGAAGATTGCGGTTCTAAGTCTAATTATCATCATTTTGAGAGGATATTTGCTATCCTTTATGGTATTAAATCAAACTTCGAAATATCTAGCAGGTGATAATACTATTCTGATGTTATCTGATGATAATCCTATTCTGATGTTAGCTGATGATAATCATATTCTGATGTTAGCTGAACTGTTCCCGCATATTCATGGTTATTTATTTGTTTTCGCAAATACTGAAATTTACGTAATATAGTATAAACTCATGAAAAATTGTCAAGACGACATTTGATAAATTTAGTTTGATTTTTATATAGAGCTTGCACCATCTTACAAAGGAAAAAGTTCTTCTTTAATTCAAACAAAAAATATTTAAAAAACATAATTGAAATAGTCAAATAAAAGTTTTAATTCTGTGACAAAAAAAGAGGGATTTTCATTACTTTGGGTTGGGATAATATTATATTAAAGTGTGTCCCAATAAACATGGGAATTCAGTGACGAATTCGATATCGTCTTTGTTATGAATTATTATTGTAATACCTAATTTCTAAAACCATAATATTATTATGTCTGCTAGAGTTTATTTAATGAAAAGGTAAATGGCTGTAAAGTATGACTATAATGTCTCCGCAAGATGAACAGTGAAGAGGGACAAGTTTACTCTGTTTGTATACTGTAATTTTCTTGTTTTACTAAGTACAACCGAACGCAGTCAAAACATAAACAAACAAAATGTGAACATAGAAGACGAAACTTTTACAGATTACAGCTTTCTCAGTAGGTATCACTATACTAAATTAAAGAATTATTTGAAAAGACGATATCGAATTCGTCACTGAATTCCCATGTTTATTGAGACACCTTGTAGAACAATTAAATCAGAAATGTTGATTTTATAAACAGAATTTACAAACTTTTTAAATATACAAATTAGGTTTTTTATATTTGTAAACCTTACACTCAAACCTTCCTATTGTCGTGAGTAACCAGTGTCACAAAACATTTGATCGGTCAGTCGAACCATTTTGACGTATAACGTATCATCCAAATTAGCAGAGTCAGAAAGCAAATATATTTTTAAAATATGACGCGAATACAGCAACTGTAAGAATGGACTAAATATTTCAAGCAAAATTTTCATCGAACATCTGTTCAAATAAAAACATGAAGCTAGGGTTACAATTTTTACCTTTTTAATTAATTCAATAAGAAATATATTTCTTAAAATTACTATACAATATACATGACGATATAGCTATATTGTAAAAATTTTAAGTGATAATCGGTAGTAAAAATCCAGCATTTTTTAATTTACAGAATGGAAGGGAAAAAGTAAGCATATATGATTCTTCAGAAAGGTTTTTTATTATTTCTTCTTTTAACACTTGTTTGCTTTGCCTTGTAAATAAAGTAGTTAGCATCTTTTACTGATTATCGGCTGATTTTGTTTAAAATTATAATTATAAAATACTATGATTCAACAATTTATTAAGAAAAATTTACAAAATCTGAAATTTTTATTTTTTCTAAAAAGCCAAGCTTCCTGTAGAGGTAAACAGATCTTTATTTTAGACAAAATATTCCTTATTTAATTTAGGAATTAATCATTGCTACTGCAATCCCACTTTTTTAGAATAAAAACTCACCTATATAAAGTCTCAAAATCAAAATCTTTAAAATACGTTATGATGGGTATGAAAAGAGGTGTTAGGTTAGATCCCCATCGCAACTTCCCCGAGACATCTTCCCCAACAGCTATTTCCCCAACAACCAATTTCCCCAACACTAACTTCCCCAGTCACTAATTTCCCCAACAGCAACTTCCCCAACACTAACTTCCCCAGTCACTAATTTCCCCAACAGCAACTTCACCAACAACAATTTCCCCATGCATTAAAACAAAACAGCAACTTCCCCAACACCAATTTCCCCATGCAGTAAAATATTAAATATATCCGTTTTTAACATTATTTCAATGAACAAATGCGCAATTTTAAAATAAAAAATTCGCAACTTTTTGAATGTGAAAAAATCAGTTGGATTAGAGTCGACAATGTTGGCAGTTTATACACTGTCCTCGAAAAGAGAAATGTTCTGGTGGATCCCAATAAGTATGAGTACAACCTACAAGCAATGTCAAGGGACAAATCTAAATCATTCTGGAACTGTGTGGAGAAAAGGAAACATTCAACATGTGTAGCAACAGCCGTTGTTAAGTGAAGTTGCTGTTGGGGAAATTAAGAATTTTACTGCATGGGGAAATTGGTGTTGGGGAAGTTGCTGTTGGGGAAATTAGTGACTGGGGAAGTTAGTGTTGGGGAAATTAGCTG